CGGACCACCTTCTGTCCTGCTGCTGCCAGTCCTCACCAAGACCCACCCTTCCCTGTCCCTGAGTCACCTACTGCTCTGTGCCCCACACCCCCACCCCCCCAGTTCCAACACCAGCCCTGCGGCTGCAGGGCCCTCGCCCCTGCGCTGACACCCCGCTTGCCATGGCTGGTTCTTACCGGGAGCGGGGGGGGGGGCGTCCAGACCCAGGACTTGCGCTGGCTGGCCTCTCCGCTGCCCACACCCGCTCCCAGCCCCTGCCCCGGCTCAGAGGGCAGGGGGTCCCCTGAACACTGACAGCGTTTCTCTGGCCGCAGATTCGTCCGCCAAGCCCTTGGTGCCAGTGGTTGGGATCGTCATCGGCTTCTTACTGCTCATGGCCGTGGCTGCCGGAGGAGCCGTGCTGTGGTGGAGGATGAAGAGGGGGCTACCAGGTGGGGGGCAGGGAGAGAGGAGACTCCGAGAGAGAGGGACCCCAAAAAACAGGAGCAGAGATCTAGACAGAGAGAGGTGGGGACGGAGACCTGGAGGCGGGAAACAGACTCGGAGGGGGAGAGAGTAGGTCAGACTCACACACACACACTCACACACACACACACACACACACACACTCACTCAGAGGGGGAGAGAGCAGCTCACACACTCACACACACACACACACACTCACACACACACACTCACACACTCACACACACACACTCACACTCACACACACTCAGAGGGGGAGAGAGCAGCTCACTCACACACACACACACACACACACACACACACACGGGAGGGGGAGACCCAGAAGGTCCCGGAGGCTCTGATGGCCTCCGCCTTTCTCTTTCCTCAGCCCCTTGGATCCTTCTTCGTGGGGACGACCTCGGTGCCCTCCTGCCCACTGGGCCAAGCAAGGATGCTGACTCTTAGGCTGTGACAGCATCTCAGCAGCTGCCTGACCACCCCGTCCTGGCTGTGACCAGCTAAGGCAGCCAGGGCTCTCCATGCTGTGAGACCCCCCGGAATCCTGTTATTTCTGAGCCTCCAGAAGGAGTCCTGGGCCTGGTGTCCGCCCTCTGGATTTTTCGTCCTGTGATCAGCCTCAGTGTCCCCCCCTAATATATACGGCTCTTTTCCACATTCACATATAACACGAGTTTGGGCCTGAGTCGTTGTGTCCTCATCATTTCAACTTTTTCAGGGCGGGGTGGGGGGAGGCGAGGGCATGGGTGGGGAGAGGCGAGGGCATGGGTGGGGGAATATGTGGCGTAAGCCCTGGGCTTCCAATCTCCCCTGAGGGCAACATGTTGCCATGGTGGAATCTGCCAGCTATATACCAAGTCATATAGTTTTCATTCATAAATTTTACAAATATTTACTGAATGCCTACAACTGTGCCAGGCATTTTAAAAACTTTTTAAAAATATGTGTTTTCATTGATTTCAGAGAGAGGGAAGGAGAAGAAAAGAGAGAAACATCAATGATGAGAGAGAATCATCCATGGGCTGCCTCTGCATACCCCCTCCTAGGGATTGAGCCCGCACCTGGGCATGTGCCCTGACCAGGAATGGAACCGTGATCTCCTGGTTCATGGGTCGATGCTCAACCACTGAGCACACCCCCCGAGCCATTTTGAGAACTTAAAAAAAAACACGTATTTTAGAGTGGGAAGAAAAGTTTTTATTTTTAAAAAATCTTTATTGTTGAAATTATTGTATGCCCCCCGCCCCACATTGACCCCTTTTAGTCCGCCCCGCCCCCTGTCCTGGGCTTCACCACCCTGTTGTCTGTGTCCATGGGTTATGCATATATGCATACTACCCCCTCCTAGGGATTGAGCCCGCACCTGGGCATGTGCCCTGACCAGGAATGGAACCGTGATCTCCTGGTTCATGGGTCGATGCTCAACCACTGAGCACACCCACCGAGCCATTTTGAGAACTTAAAAAAAACAACATGTATTTTAGAGTGGAAAGAAAAGTTTTTATTTTTAAAAAATCTTTATTGTTGAAATTATTGTATGCCCCCCGCCCCGCCCCCTGTCCTGGGCTTCACCACCCTGTTGTCTGTGTCCATGGGTTATGCATATATGCATACAAGTTCTATGGTCCATCTCTTCCCCCCCTCCCCTGCCTTCCCTCTGAGATTCGACAGTCTCTTCCATGCTTCCCTGTCTCCGGATCTATTTTGTTCATCCGTTTATTCTGTTCATGAGATTCCACACATGAATGAGGTCATGTGATACTACTCTTTCTCTGAGTGGCTTATTTCCCTTAGCACAATACTCCCCAGGTCCCGCCACTCTCCATGTCTCAAAGGGGAAGAGTTCCTTCTTTTTTACTGCTGCATAGTATTCCATGGTATACAGGTACCACAGCTTTTTTTTTTTTTAAATATATTTTATTGATTTTTTACAGAGAGGAAAGGAGAAAGATAGAGAGTTAGAAACATCGATGAGAGAGAAACATCGATCAGCTGCCTCCTGCATATCCCCCACTGGGGAAGTGCACGCAACCCAGGTACATGCCCTTGACCGGAATCGAACCCGGGACCTTTCAGTCCGCAGGCCGACGCTCTATCCACTGAGCCAAACCGGTTTCGGCACACAGCTTTTCTATTAAAATATTATTGTTGATTTGAGAAAGAGAGGGAAACATCGATTTGTTTTCCCAGTTATTAATGCATTTATTGGTTGCTTCTTGTATGTGCCCTAACCGGGGATGGGACAACACTAACCAACTGAGCTATCCGGCCAGAACATTTGGAGGAATTCATGGCTGGAGTCTGACCTGACTCCTTTCGTGGAGCAGAAGGGTTGTTCCCTCGCCCTAGCTCCGTGGTCGGCAAACCGCGGCTCTTGAGCCACATGCGGCTCTTTGGCCCCCTGAGTGTGGCTCTTCCACAAAATACCACGTGCGGGAACACACGTACAGTGCGATTGAAACTTCGTGGCCCATGCGCAGAAGTTGGTATTTTGTGGAAGAGCCACACTCAAGGGGTTGGCTCAGTGGACAGAGCGTCGGCCTGTGGACTGAAGGGTCCCGGGTTCGATTCTGGTCAAGGGCACATGCCCAGGCTGCTGGCTTGGTCCCCAGTAGGATGGGTAGGAGGCAGCCGATCAATGATTCTCTCGTCATTGATGTTTCTATCGCTCGCTCTCCCTCTCCCTTCCTCTCTGAAATCAATAAAAATCTTAAAAAAAAAAAATTGTGCTAATCCTAGATTTCGCCAGCAGCAGCAACAACAGAGTTGTCCCCTCTATCAGGGGAGAGGCTGGCTCCTCCGCTCCCTGGGTTCCCTTCTTTCTTAAACAAAGGGAGATAAAAATAAACTCCCATGAGGCTTAGAGCGACAACAACTGGAGTTGTAGGCTGGGCGCCCCGAGGCCTGCCGGGAGTTGTAGTTCTCCGCCGCCGCGTCACCCGGCGTCCCCCACCCACCCC